CTTAGATGTTTTTGGCTAAGGGCTGTAGTTGAAAGTGTTTGTGTTCCTTTTTATATTTCAGAAGAACCCACTTGTAGTCCTTTGCATTGCAGAAGAAAAATAATAACAATATTAAATAATAGCAAAGTTTCCAAGAGGAGCCCCAGCCATTGATCCTGTTTTTTTGTATTCCTCTGCTGTGTGATCTCTCCCAAATCTGGTTTGATGCAATCTTTTTTGAAAAATCAGTTGAACCACATTTGAACACTCTGAATGAGAAAGTACATGTTTTTAGACTCTTCTCACATCAGTGCCATTTTCTTTACCTCAGTCCCAGTGGCAGCCATTTCCTGTGTCACCAGAGGACTTGGGTTTTGTTTTATTTTTAATTAGTAATAGCAACCGTATTTACTTGAAGATGACCCTGAATGTAAGTCAACTCACCCTAAAAAAAAGCATTTCCTTAGCCAACCATAGAGTCCACTGCCCAAAGCATCCATTTTCTCCAGGAGAACTGATTTTGGTCATCTGGAGATCAGTTGTAATAGCTGGGGGTCTCCAGGTGCCACCTGGAAGTTGGTTACGGAACTGCTTTCCAGACCCCTGGAACCCAGAACACATGGCACAAGAGGAGGTGCATTTCTACCTTAGCTGCCACTGCGTAGCCCCAAATCAGCATAAGTTAGGGGTGGAGGGAACCATATCGATTACCATGCGGCTGTCCTCCCATACTATCCACTTGGGGCAGCAGAATGACTTGAGACAGCCTTGCCTTATTGCTAAGCAGATGGAAATAAACATGGCTCACCTGCATCTGTTTCCCCCCTTCCCCCACCCCCCCACCAGCCACAGCCAGGACACTCACCTGGAGCCTCTTTCTAGAGCTTATTGTATTTCTTCCCACAACGGGCCTTACTCCTCAGCATGTGTTTGTGGTGGGCTCTGTCTCCTTTGGCATGGCATACTTGTGTTATGGGCTATTGTGGAGTATGTGCATCAAGGCACTGATTTTCTGTAGGGGAAATGTGGCTAGGGAACACGGTGATTTCCAGGAGATCTCCAGGCCCCCTCAGGGTGATTGGCAACCCCAGTGAACATTTAGAAGAAGATTGGGAGATGTATTTTACCTCAGGACACATTCAATGACTTGCAACAGCAAGCTGTTTAGAATGTTACAGGCAATCAGGATACATATGCAAACAACCTTTGTGTTCCAACTGGCTGGGGGGGGGGGGGAGAGGATGATGTGTGGAATGGAGTGAGGCCCAATCAGCCCGGAAATGCAAATGACCTTGAAAGGCTGGCCCAATAAGGTAGAAGATGAGTCATTGGGAACATGGCTAGCTTTTATATCTAGACCAGGAAGAAGGCTCATTGTGGAGACAATTGCAATGAGCTCTAGCTGGGCCACTGCCTGCCAGCCCCCCCCCCCCCCGGGAGAAGAAGGGGCGACGGCGGCCTCGTCCCCTGGGCCCAGCTGCGGGTAGAGCACAGCCTCTCCGCCAGCGCCTGCATCCCAGCTCCCGCTGCTGGGGTTGGACAGGAGGAGGGTCTTGGCCCAGTTTGGTGTAGTGGTTAAGTGTGCGGACTCTAATCTGGGAGAACCGGGTTTGATTCCCCACTCCTCCACTTGCACCTGCTGATGTGACCTTGGGTCGGTCGCAAGCTCTGGCACAGCTGTCCTTGGAAAAGAGCAGTTTCTGTCAAGAGCTCTCTCAGCCCCGCCCACCTCACAGGGTGTCTGTTGTGGGGAGGAGAAGGGAAAGGAGTTTGTAAGCCGCTCTGAGACAACTTTGGGTAGTGAAGGGCGGGGTATAAATCCAATCTCTTCCTCTTCTTCCTCTTCCTCTTGGCGCAGCAGTGGGGTGCATCAGGGAGGCCTCTTGGTGTGTTTGCTGGTGGCACTAGTGGTGGCGGCGGGACACAGCACAGATGGGTGGTCTCTTGCCACAGCAGCAGTCGCTGCCCTGCCCGCCTCAATCATGGCATTTCTGAACGTGTGTGGGCTCTTGCGCCTCTTCTCCGCCTCTCCCAGTGGTCCAGCTCATCCTCCGGCCGCCGAAGCACCCATACCCATGGGTGGCTCAGAGCACAGTGAGCCAGAGATTCTGCTGGCTGGCTTGCCGCCTCTGTGGACGGGACAGAGGCAAGGGAGCCAGCCAGTGCAGCCAGGGGATGTGCAGGAGGGACACCAAAACTCTTTTATATATAAAAGAGAGATTATACTTACTAGCTGCACCTCTTGCAGCTCTGAGAAAGGTAATGTTTTTAATCTGTCTAGCAAAGACAACTAGTTATATGTACCTTTGTACCTGAAGCTGGGTTTTGTTGATCAGCCTATTAATTTAACAGAAATATTATTAATCATAATTTACTAAAGGCTAACAAATCATGTTGCTTGCTGTATTTTAGAAGACAAATATGGACAAACACGACCTAAGCATAGAACAGGTATAAAGAAAACAGTTGTGAATGTTTGACCCACAAATCAAGCAGTCAACAAGACTTGCAAAGAAAATGCTTACTATGTATTGCAGTCTGAAGCACTATAACACAATAAAGCAATTCCTACAAATCATAAGAAAATCCTAGTGCAAAGGTACCCTCAAAACATTAGTGCTCAGATTAGTGTTAGGTAGTGAAGCAAAGCTTTGTTGAAGTACCTCTTAACAGACATGGGACCATTAAGTTGCTGTCTGTCAGGCAGTGACAAGATTGGAATTTCTTCATGCTTAGAAGATTTCCAGATATACAGGTTAAAAAGTTAAAAGCCTTTTCCCATTCCCAAGTAGTCTGACATGCATTGAATGTGCTCTGCCCTGAAATGCAATGTTGAGGGCAGAACAAAGTTTGAGTCCAGTGGCACCTTTAAGACCAACAAAGTTTTATTCAAGATATAAGCTTTTGTGTGCCATGTACACTAGAGGAGGATGATAAACCCGGGTAGCAGAAACAGGCCTGTGTGGGTCTCTGACAATTTATCTTATTGGAGTTTGGCAATCCCACAGTATTTCCTCCTTTTCCCCAAATCCAGAATGCTATAAACTTTAAGAACTGAGAATTCTTGTGAGCAGTTCTAACTAGGCTGATACTGGAATTGAATGAAACATAATTTCCACAATCCTAATATATCTAGCCCCAAAGACTCTTTAAACTGCAGAAGGGGCACATGTACCTTATATTCAGTGTGGGGAAGGAAGGCCCCCAAAAAAGGGAAGCTGCTCATCTGGTGCCGAGCTGTTCCTATGGGGGTTTCCCTGATCACCTCCCTTCACAGGTGTGATGGACCATCAAGGTTTAATGCCTATCAGAATCTGAAAACCTTTGAGTGACAGGCTGTTCAAACAGAATTCTGTTGAGAGAGTCAGTTAAGGAATTACAGTTGGGAATTGACAGTCGAAGAAGAGACTGTTAAGCACTGACTGTGGAATGGAAAGGAGACTAAAGGAGTGAGGATCAGAGAGGATACCCATTCAAACCTAAAAGAGAAATTGTTTCTAATTAAGAGAAATAATCCCTGCCTAGTGAAAAGGGAGATCACTCTTAAAAGAGGAGTGATCGTTGATCTTAAAAGAGGAGTGATCGTTGAATTTTGGGAACTTAGTTGTATGTTCCTGCCTTCTAGTCAGTGAAACTCAGAAACCTATGTTTAAGCAGAAACTGAGAAGAAAGCCTCTCTCCTCTTAAGTTTTAAAATACCTTTTTGAATAGCAGAAATGCTTGTTGGCAGCAAATTATCTGGAGTTAGTTTGATTACAAAGTTACCTCAGTTTTATTATTGATTCACCTCATACATCATTCCCCTGATTTCACCTGATCTTTTCTCCTCTAAGTTAAATAAAACATTTTATTTTGAACTTTCAAAAGCCTCTTGTATGCCATTTCAGAAGCTGAATATATGAAGGCGATTTTGTCTCTTTCCTGGGGTGGGACAGCCGTAGAAAAACAAATAAAAAGAAAATAGATACAGGGTCTGCTCAGCAAGAGAAGGGGGGGGGGGAATCCTACGTGTGAGGAAGGGAAGAGGGCAAGATCATCGTAACCAGCTTCCAGGTTCCTTGATGTATCAAAATCCTTTTGATATGCTGAAAAGGGACCATTATGTTGTCGCTTCAATCATAACACATGATGTAAAAAGGTAAAGGTAAAGGTTCCCTTGCTCGAAAGCCAGTCGAATCCGACTCTAGGGCTCATCTCCGTTTCCAAGCCGAAGAGCCAGCGCTGTCCAAAGACGTTTCCGTGGTCATGTGGCCGGCATGACTAAACACCAAGGCGCACGGAACGCTGTTACCTTCCCACCGAAGTGGTGCCTATTTATCTACTTGCAATTTCTTGCTTTCGAACTGCTAGGTTGGCAGGAGCTGGAACTAGAGATGGGAGCTCACTCCATCATGCGGCACCCGGGTCTCGAACTGCTGAACTACTGACCTTCCACAGCCTGCAGTTCAGCGTCTTAACCACTTGAGCCACCGCAGCTCCTAAACACACATGATGTAGGAAAGATTTAATTTAATGGACACATTGAGGTGACTGAAGAAAGGGAAGATGCAAACTTATTTCAGAAATCTTAGAAACAATGTACAAAAGAGTAGTTCTATCAGATGTTGTTATGTGCATTTAAGGGGAAAATGAGAAATTTAAACAGCTATCAAAGGAAGTATTTAAATACAGTGAATAGCAGGTTCTGATCTGTCAGCCTGATCCATGCATCTGCATCAAAAAATAGTCCTTAATACAGAGTGATGCCTTTTTGGAGATTGTTCCAGAAATTGTCCAAGGTTTTTTTTAATTTTGCCAAATAAGTCTTGTATGAGCTGGCACCTCGAGGTAAGGAAGACTTAAGGATGTCTGGCTTGTTTACTATGATACTGAACCAAGTTGCTAAGTCATAAGAGAGAAATTTACTATCTTGGACAAAAATAAAGCTAAAGGTTGTAGAAGCAATCAGATACTGTTTAAATCATGTTATATTTTCATGCTAACTGAATTTGTGATTTAAAATATTTTATTTGTATTCCTAGAATGCAGAAGTCTCTGTTTTTGAAGTAAACATCCGTTTTGTCGGTGGGCTGCTCTCAGCATACTATCTTTCTGGAGAAGAGGTAGGATTGTCATTCTAATTACACAATTGTGGTGTTAGATGTTTAAGTTCAAAGTTCTGCTCAAGTGACCAGGTATAGTTCAGTAACATCATCTTGACATTGGTTAGATGAATATCTGGTCCCCTGGCATTAGTTACAATTGGGTATATGTCTCTTTCTATAAAGGTTATGCGTAACTAGGGACTGAAAGAAAGATGTCTGTGTGACATCTACTTGTGTGACATCTACTTGAAAAGGCTTAAGCCGAAATCTGAAACTGAACACATCTGGCCACCTGCACCCTGTAGTTCTCTTGACTGAGGGGATACTATTGAACATTTCATTTGGATGACATAGGATTACCCGTGACCTGGATGGCCCAGGCTACCGTGATCTCATCAGATCTCAAAAGTTAAGCAGGGTTAGCCCTGCTTAGTACTTGGATGGGAGACCACCAAGGAAGGCCAGGTTGCTATGCAGAGGCAGGCAATGTCTCTTGCCTCGAAAACCCTACATAGTCTCCATAAGTCAGCTGTGACTTGACAACACTTTCCTCCAGCACAACCAACCAATCACTGGATTGCTGTGAGAAGGGTGGTATGGGTGTTACATTCTGCTGCAGCAGACATGTGTGACCTGATAGGGTTAAGAGAGCAGCCTGGGGGGGGGGGGGGGGATACACACTTTACACACTTCCTTCCTACTTTCCTGAAAAGTCTCCCACTTCCTTTTGTTTTTGCCATTATGTCTGACTAACATCATTTGTTAACACAAATCTGGGAACACTACTCACCTAGGCCTCTTGAATTTGTGTTAAATCCTACCTACTTACATACACGTATGTGGATATTATATTATTACATACATTGTTAAACAGGAAACTATGGAAAGGAGGAAGAAATTTGCACATGAGAGGGAAGGGATTGGTAGAAGGTATAATTACTTTTTTACCTTTAACTCTGAATTACATCTGCATGAGCTGCACATGTGAAATATCTAAAACAAGTGGAGACCCGCAAGAAACTTGCGGAATGGTTATCCTGTTCCTCACACCTTTGCTTCCTCCTGTCTCCCTCTACCTCTCTCACACTCTTTTTCCCTTCTGCCCCCCCTTTCTTTTTCTCCTCCAGCTATGGCATTATACTGATCTGTAGTTCCTTCCCTCCTCCAATCCCACCCTCCCCAGGCTCCACCCCACAAATGTCCAGGAATTTCCCAACCTGGAGTTGGCAACACAATTTCCTTCCCACCCAACAGCCAACCTACCTTTATCTGCCTCTCTGTCTGCAACTTTCCATCTCCACACCCCTCCCCCACAGCCTCTACCTAGGAAAATTACAGTTTTTCTCCACAGTGGGGACCAAAACAGCTTACATTATTCTCTCCTACTTTTTATCTGCACAACAACCCAGCTTTCATAGGGTGGCTGCTGATGAACAGTAGCAAGCAGCTGGGCCTACTTGAGTCATGCAAATCAGGTGGTATCAAGTCACCCAGAGGGTGCTGCCGAGGGATGCCAGCCTCCAGGTGGGACCTGGGGATCCCCTGTAATTCCTGCTCATTTCCAGACTACAGAGATAACTCCCCATGGAGGAAATGGATGCTTTGGAGGGTGGACTCTGTGACATTGTACCCCACTGAGGTCCCTGTCCTCCCCAGGCTCCACCCCCAAATCTCCAGGAGTGTCCCAGCCTGGACCTGGCAACCTTATCCAGAATCCCCTGTCGGTGGCCGGGGGGGACCTGGCAACCCTAAAGTGCTGGCAGGCCCAGGCTTGGCAACCTCTAAGTGGGGCCTGAAGGAACCCCCCCCCCAGACTTACAACTGAATTCAAGGCAGCAGAGATCTGTCTCCCTGGAGAAAATGACTGTTTTAAAAGGTGGACTCTGTGGCATTATACCCAGTTGAGGCCTCTCCCTTCCCCAATCCCACCTCAAAACCTCTAGGGACTCCCCAGGCCAGGCCCCAAGGCTCCCTCCCTCCCTGAAAGGCCAACGGAGGCCTGGCAAAAGGGCCCTTCCCCCACAGAGCAGTTAGAAGCCTCTTCTCCCCCCCCCCAACGTTCTAACCTCTCTCTCACCGTTGGTGTCTGAAGCAGAGCCCTGCAGAGGCCATTTCAAAGGGTTTTTGGGGGAATTCAGTCATCCCTGGAGCGATTTTGTCACTTTTTCGATTTTTCTGCACATAATGGAAGCATGCTGGGTCTGTAGGAGAAGAGTCTGAGGCCCACGGAGCTTTCTTTCCCTCAATCTAAGTATCCGCACGGCGCCCTCTGTTGGCTATTAGAATATATGATGACTTATCTGTTCGTTAATGATTATCACCTCAATTTGCTGATCTTTGATCATAATAAATTGAATTGTGGGGCAAAACCTCAGAGTACATTGTATAATATATACTTTTTTGCATTCTGGATAAATTCTATTTTGTAGTAATTTTTCCAAAACTTTGGATTCCAGTTTTCCAGATATGTGAAAATCAATACATTATATACACATTCCAAATTCTAAAGTTCTAAACAGCAAAAGTAAGCAACCAAACTACATATGTTATGATGCATATGTAAGCCGTGCTCCCTCCACATATCCTGCTGGCAGGATTGGAACTACCCAAAGCCTGTGGGGATATATCCAGCCATCTATAGACTTTACAGAGTGGGACTTTCCTACTTCCCTCTCTCACTGCAGTTCTCTGAAATTTTGTTCCTTAAGGTCAGGAAGCCCTCAGAATAGCATTGGCGATCTGCAGCAGAACTAAGAGAAACTGCTGCCCACTCTTCCAGAGACAAGTGCCATTGAGTTGGGGCTAAACAGTTGCATATAGGACACTATGTCTAAAAATCTTACTGTGTCGTATAGTTAAGAAGCTATTCTTATAGTGTGCAGAGTGGTCTTGCCTAAAATGGTCAGTCTGAATTTACACTGGTGCAATTTCTGGTTCCTAAGCTCTCCTAGCAGCAAATCAAAAGAACAATTATGATGGTAAAGAACTTGTACAGCAATGACTGCCATGCTTACAGAGTTCCTGACAATAATTCCATGACTACCCATCAGTCATAGTGTTGCTTCTAATAACATCCACACTCTGCCCATGCAGGCACCTATCAGCAAGTAGTGGTAATGCCTTGATAACATCCAGCAGCCCATTCTTTACTTTCATCTCCCCTCCCCACACCTATTGCATAGGTTTGTAGACTGAAAGGTATCTCAGTAGCTTGGCTTGTGCCTGCAGCCAGAGATTTGCATCCCCTGGTAGACTGTTTCTGTGCTCAAAGATTCAAGGTGGTTTTTTTCCTGTAGGAAAACTGAATTATGGGACTGGGCTTGAAGAGATAGTCCAGGAATAAACAAAGCATTTTGTTGTGGTTCACCACTGGTATATAAATCACAAAAGGCTTAGAAGGAAGGATTTCTCCCCCCCCCCCCAATATGCAGGGACAATTGATGAAAACAATTTAAGCAGTTGCTTTACTTTTTGAGAATGGTACATTTTTACTTGGGTGTGTGTATGTGTTTGTTAAACCAGCTATATTGTATAAATGCCCCCAAATCACTGCAGCTGTTCTTTCCTGCAGTTAGAGCAGATTAACACGGGGAATTTGTGAACGTCTATCTCTCTCTACAAATATTTAATAGCAGCTGCAAAGGAACTGGAATGCAGAGATGTTAAAGAACGCCCCTCTATGTCATTTTCCCAGTTCCGTCTGGATTTTTAAAGTCTTAATTGGTTTTTAAAAAATAGATAATTTTGCTTGTAGAATAATCTGAAATTTGAATTTAAATATATAATCTCTTAAAACTGAATTTATGCCTTTTTGAATGTATGAAAGACTGCTTTTGTGGTGTGAAGGGAGCAGTGGGTAAAACTGCTTCATCAGTAATTAGAAATAGCATGTGCTGCTATATTATGTTGAAGACAACAATTTATTAATTGCAAACACATATTTCAGGCAACTGAACAGATGATTGTATATGTGGACATTACCGGATGGCTAGTACAAAAATAAAATAAATAAAATAAAAACATAATTGGAAGCAGTTGGAGAAACTCTATTCTGTCTGCTAAAACAAGACCAAGAGTTAATTATAGTACATACCATGAACTGTTAATACTGAAAATTAGAAAAAAGCTGAAGAAAAATGCCAAAACATTCAGTGTCAAAATGCAATCTAAACAACATTCCTGAAGAGTTCAAAAACTATGTAAAGAACAGATTTGCATCACTGAATTCAAATGTATGGGAAATGGAAGAACTATGGGTTGAAAACAGATATTATCAAGTAAGAATGCGCAAAGACTATTCCTATAGCCAAAAGAAATGAAAAGCTTTGATAGGTGACTGATGAAACTCTTGAAATTGCTAAAGATAGATGAGAAGCATAAGTAAAAAGTGACAAATAGAATCAGAAGTCTAAATGTAGTATACCAGCAACTGGAACATAGAGACAAATAGAATTATTATTATAATCAGTGTAAAGAAACAGAAAAAAACCCAACAATGTGACCATATATGGAATGAGAAATGCTAAATGTTCAAGCTGGATTCAAAAAAGGAAGAGACACTAGAGCTCATATTGCAAATTTACATTGGTTACTGGAGCATACAAGAGAATTTCAGAAGAAAATCAGCTTGTGTTGTATACATTGCAGCAAAGCTTTTGACAGGATCATATGGGCCCCGGTCACACGGGCAGGAAACTGCGGGGGAGAAGCGTGGCTGTTTGCCCTGGGGCAAACTACTGCGCAGTTACTTGATCAGACCTCCCGTGGAGGTCCTGTGGAGGTACCGTTGCGCACGCTCGTTTGTGTGTTTTTTTTTTCCACTCGCATGTATATATATATATATATATATATATATATATATATATATATGAAGTTTAATACAAGAAATTTTTCACTGTCTTTCTTTTCTGGCCATTGAAACAAAATTTGCGTCCAGTGGCACCTTTAAGACCAAACTTTGTTCTGGTGCTTCAGACCAACACAGCTAACCACCTGAATCTGTTTTCTGGCCATTGTTATTATTTGCTTTATTTCATAATTATTACTGAAAATAATCTTGTTGCATAGACGAGGGTCTCTGACCTAGATAGTCCCAGTCTAGATCTCAGAAGCTAAGCAGGGTCAACGAGGAGGCAGACGATGGCCAACCACCTCCAAACGTCTCTTGCCTTGAAAACCCTACAGGGTTGCCATAAGACAGCTGTGACTTGACAGCAAAAAAATAAATAGAGGAGGAAGGTGTTAAAAATTATCTGCTAGGCTAGGTATGCCACTGTTCATAATGAAGGTTAAAGCAGAAAGTGTCAAAGCAGAACTATAGCTGAACATCTAGAAGACAAAAGTAATAACTACTGAGGAATTACACATTTTAAGGGTTGATGATGAAATTAAAATTGTTAAAGATTTTCTGTTTCTTGGGTCAATCATCAACTCAGAGGAAGACTGCAAGAAATCAGAAGGACATTGAGACTGGGAAGGCAGCCGTGAAGAAAAGGTCTTTAAGCCAATATCAAGATAATTCATACTATAGTATTCCCCATTGCTATGTATAAATGTAGAAGTTCGACAATGAAACAAGTGGGCAGGAAGAAAGTTGATTCATTTGAAATGGTATGTTGGAAGAGAATTGTATGGATACCATGGACCACCAAAAAGACAAATCCATGGGTGCTAGATCAGATCAAGCCTGAACTTTCTCTACAAGCTAAAATGACTAAACTGAGACTGTTGTACTTTGTGAGAAGACAAGACTCACTGGAAAAGACAATAATGCTGGGAAAATGTAGGAAGACCCAACATGAGATTGATTGACTCAATAAAGGAAGCCACGGCCTTCCATTTACAAGACCTAAGCAAGGCTGTTAATGATAGGATGTTTGGGAGGCCATTAAGTCAGAAGCTACCTGATGGCATATAACACAGCAATGCATATATTATGGCTTGATGCTTGGTGCCAGTTACAGACAAGTCAATGAATATCTGGTAATCCATCTGAGTGATCCTTTGGGTGGCAGAAAATGTCATCAGGTCATAGCTGACGTCAGGACATCTTGTAGGGTTTTCAAGGCAAACCCTTTATTCCCCATTTTATGCTCTGCTATTAATTATAAATATTTATAACTCTTCCTATTTAACAACATGAACATTTACCTTCCATCTTTTGGAGAACAATGATCTGACCAGTCAACTGCTACTAGTTGATATTTATTGTTTTGTAGCAAGGGAAGACAAAAGAAAAAGAGTTTAAGTATTTCCCAAATAATATATTTTAATATCCTCTGATCTTGTATTAAGGCTCAATTCATTTAAAATCAATAGTAATCAATCAGCTAATCAATTAATATGTAACTTCATTCTGGAAACATTAAAATAACAAATGAAAACTTTGATGGAAGGTATTTTTAATAGAAAATCATGGGCTTGGATCTACTGAAGTGTTTCCACAGGAGGAGGGATTTCTGCCAACGGAGTGTGTGTTGTTCTCCTTCCCCCTATTGCAGCAGCTCTAAAATGGCTGCCATGAGCTGTAGTTGGGGGGAGAAGCAAGGATTTCTGTTCATGTAGTACCTACTTTTACCCACAGAAATGCTTCAGTGAATCCAAGCCAATGACTTAAATTAGCATAACTTCAAGACTTAAATTAATCCACCCTGTTCCCTGGTAATTTAAAAAAGGGCTGTGGCTCAATTCACATATCATATTAGCAATCATCCAAAACATAGTTTGAAGAATCAGCAGCATGCTGCAAGATTATGCACTCTTTCTCATGATCACATCTCGTGCCCAGTTTGCCATACCATAGTTCATTGTGGCAGATTGAGTGGCTTGTTCCTTACATGATTTTTGTTTGTTTTAATTTTACAGGTGTTTCGGAAAAAAGCAGTGGAACTAGGAAAGAAGTTGCTTCCAGCCTTTAATACTCCTACAGGAATTCCTTGGGCATTGTTGAATATCAAAAGGTAAACATGAGTATTTTTAATATTGACTATTTTTTTATATTCAATGTTTGTAAAGAGTCCTTTGTTCTAAGAGAAAATTGACATAGAAATATGCTAAATAAATTTTGGTAACTGTGAAACAACAGTATGCTTTGTATATTGATCTGGGTAGTCATGCAGTTATCTTCCCGGGTATATTCTAGGTTTCTTGGAATAAACTCTTGCTACAGAGTAGCCAATGAATTATTAATTTCACATTTTCTTGTATGTTTATCACAGCTGTAGACACTTCTGCCAACTTAAATTAGTTTTTTAATTCATAATCAAAGTTCACTCATTTCAGATCTGCTGTTTTCAGAATTTACTTGAAGGTAGTAAAACTCACCATAACAGTACTCTAGGTTAGGTCAGTATTTTTGAAATTCCGATTTTCTAAAATCTGAGCTTCTGTTCTGGTTCCATTCCTGTCTGGCAAATAGTAAACACAGTGACAGTTGTAGGAATTACACACACACACAAAATTTATCCACAAATTTTTGCAGAAAACAATTTGTTTTTCCAAGTAAAAGATTACAGTCAAAAGATAATGGCATATATTACTTACACTTAACAATCTTGCGGCACAGTAAAGACTAACAAAATGGAATAAAATTATTACTTTCTAAGGTACTCCAAGACGTGTATTCATTGCAGTAGACTTAACAGTACCCATTGACATTAGTAGACCTAGAATGGTGTAATGCTGCTTAGGATTGCATTGCAACACAGCTGCACAAGTGTTTATAACTCATTATTCATATGAAATGAACAAAACCACTTTTTATTGATATGGAGGAAGACTGAATTAAAAGTCTGTTTTAGAAATGGAAGAAGCTGTTATACTAAGTGTCATTTAAATATTTGAATTTTCTTTCTGCTGACTTTTCCTCAACAACTCAGCAAGATGTAGCTCTGTGGCCAAGTTTTCAAAATGTGTACCCTGTCATACTCTTGACAGGACAACTGTTTTAATGTAATATGCTATTGACCCTGGAATGCCCTCACAAAGTTGACAGTTACATTAAGTTGTCCTTCTTGCTGTTCAACAAACATTGCCAGTGCTGATACCCTTCCTTACACTTTGGATGCATCTTCAGCACTTTTTAATACAATTTGCACACTTTTCCCAATATTAAGGGAAGCTTTTAATGAGTATGAAGAACATACAGTTATTTACCTAGGATGTTTGTGGGTACTGAATATCCAGAAGGCAAATGGTGTGGTTGAATGTATTGGAAGGGAAGGAGCCGGAGGTCTCCTAGCGACCTACATCCCATCCTGAGATATGCTGGTTGTGGGGCTAGGAATGAAAACCTTTCTCCGACGCTGATGTTGTATAATGCCAGGTCCATAACAAGACCGCAACACTGCAAAGTTACTTTGCAACACATAAAGTAGACCTGGCGTGCGTGACTGAGACCTGGGTAAGGGAGGGCGAGATGGTTGCCTTAAAAGAACTGTCCCCTCCGGGTTTCTCGGTCCTTCATCAGTCCTGGACAAAAGGGCTCATTCGAGACTCCTTTTCCTCTAGGCCACTCCAAAGATCTCCGGTATTGACTGTGTTGGCCTAGTGTGGGAGGCTGAAGAAAGTTTGGCTGTCTGGCTGGTGTACTGATTACCTAGCACGCCAGCAAATACGCTGTTGAGCCTGTTGGAGGCAGTGTCGGGCTGGGCTCTGGAATTTCTCAGACTGATAGTGCTGGGAGGTTTCAGTGTCCATGCCGATGACGCTGCCTCCATACAGACCATGGACCTGTGTCTTCCATGGCAGGACTGGAACTCTCCCAGATTGTATCAGATCCCATGCATCAAGCAGGCCACACACTGGATTTGATCTTTGCAGTGGGAATAAATGTGGATCTGATTATTACTGAGGTAGTGCCATGGTTGGACCATTTGGCTCTGAAGGTCTGTCTGGACACCCTATCCCCCTCCTGCATAGGTGGTGAGCAAATTTATGCTTGTCTGCGGAGACTAATGGATCCAGTTTGTTTCCAGAATGCTCTGCAGGATTCAGTGCTCCCTGGTGACTTGCTGGATGTGCTGGTAGAAGACTGGCACTGCCATCTTTCTGAAGCCATTGACGAGATCATCCTCAATGCCCTCTCCACTCCTACCCTAGATTGGCACCTTGGTATATCCCTGAACTTTGAGGGTATGAAGCAGGAGTTCAGACAGCTAGAGCAAGTCTGGCAGTAGACTTGTGATGAAGCTACATCTTCCTATAACATCTTATAGGAAGTTTATGAAATTCTATGAGATGGCAGTGAAGGCAGTAAAAAAGGAATTGTGTAATGCTTCCATTGCAGCTGAAAGCTCATGCCTGGCTCAATTATTTAGGGTAATTATGTCCTCTCAAAATTATATTGAGAGAACTCAAAATATTAGACATTTGACAATTAGCTGTGAGGCTTTTGCAAGCTTTTTTGCAGATAAGGTCTTGTCACTCCACCAGGACCCACCCACCAATTTAGATACAGTATGTGAACTGGAGGCCCCTTGGCCATCTTCTGGTCTGATACTGGACCAATTCAGCTGACTCTCTCTGGACGATGTTGACAGGATCCTGGGTGCTGTGAAGCCTACCACCTCTCTCCTGGACCTGTGTCCATCATGGTTGATAAAAGCCAGCAGGGATGGAATACAGGTTCACTTGGCAGACATTATAAACTTGTCTCTGGGGACAGGGGTCTTCCCAGGGAGTTTAAAGGAGACAGTGGTACATCTACTCTTAAAGAAGGCATCCTTGGACCCTTCTGATTTAGCCAACTACTGCCCACTGTCAAACCTTTTATTCCTGGGTAAGGTAGTTGACGGAATGGCAGCCAAACAGCTCCAGGTTTCCCTGGATGATACATTGGCCGTAGATCCCTTCCAGTCCAGCTTCCACCCTGGCCATGGAGCAAAGACAGCACTGATTGCTTTCATAGATGATCTTTGCAGACACCTGGCTCAAGGCAGATCAATACTGCTGTTGCTACCTAATCTGACAGCAGCGTTTGACATGGTTAATCATGACCTGCTGAGGGATATATAAGAGACAGCGTTGAGATGGTTTGTCTTTTTTCTCCAAGGTCGGGAACAGAGGGTGGTGCTTGGGGAGACAGTGTCGCCACGATACCCTTCGGTATGTGGAGTCCCAGGGGGCTGTTCTCTTCCCAGTGTTATTCAATATCTATATGCACCCACTCGCCCAGCTGACACAGAGATTTCGGCTTGGTTGTCACCAATATGTGGATGGCACCCAGCTATATCTGTTGATGGGCAGCCAACTAGGCTCTGCCTTGGAAAATCTGGCAGAGGAGTTGGAGGCCATGGTTGGATGGTTGAAGCAGAGCCATCTGAAACTAAATTCTGTGAAGATGGAGGTCCTGTGGCTGGGCCAGAGAGACCCAGGTCTAGGGTGTCAAGTCCCGACTCTTGACAAAGCGCCATTAACACTAGCGCCAATGGTGAAGAGTCTGGGCATGATACTGGAAGCCTCCTGATCAGTGGACCTCAGGTCACAAATGTTGCTTGGCTGGCATTTTTACATCTGTGTAATGTTGAGCAACTAGCTCCTTTCCTGTCTCACCCTGACTTAGCCACAGTGATCCATGCAACAGTCACGTCCAGATTGGATTACTGTAACTCGCTGTATGCGAGGCTACCTTTGAGACTGACCCAGAAGCTTCAGCTGTGGTCCAGAATGCATTCTGACTGGAACTCCACTTAGAGCACATATTCAACCAGTGCTCCCATCAGCTGCACTGGCTCCAGATTGAATGCTGGATCTGTTTTCATGTTTTGGTTTTAACCTTTAAAGCCCTGTACAGTCTGGGATCAGCATACCTTTCAGGATCGCCTCTCCTGGTATACCCCTCCAAGAGCATTACACTCCTTGAATAAAGATCTGTTGGTGGTCCCTGGACCAAGAAGTATCCGGTTAGCCTCAACCAGAGCTAGAGCCTTTTTCGCTCTGGCCTGGTTGAGATCTGGGCCTTGCAGGATCTCTCTCAGTTCCACAGTGCCCGTAAAACAGAGCTGTTCAACAGGCCTACAGTCGAGGCTCCTGACCAAGGGAAATGACAGCTCCCTTAGTGGTCCTCCTTCCTGTTTCCAGTTTTGGCCTTCCCCAGTGCTGTTGAATTATATTGTTATCTCTGATTAAATTGAAATTGTATTGTATGCGCCACCTATGTATTTGAGTTTTAATTTTTAATAATTTTAGTAACTATGGGTGTTTTATAATTATGTTGTTACTTGCCCTGAGGCCTGCTATAGCAGGAAACAGCAAGTCAGAAATCTAATAAATAGATAAAATATTCTATGCTTTAATCACTACCTAACCAGAAATCTGTTAGAATAAATTAACATACTTCTATCAAAGGCACTTTTGTAACAAAATAGGTCAGGAAGTTGTATTCTGCAGATTTTCTGCTTGTTTAATGATGATAAATATACTGCCGTGCCAGGTTTAATGATGGTCATAATACATAATAGAAGAATGAGATGTCAGTTACAAGTAATAATCATATATGCAAGTATAGTGAAAGGCTAAATACTGTTTTATATAATGTTCTTGTAATTTATGCATGAAGGAAAATTGATTGGATGTCAGCCAAAAACCCTAAGGTGTGTACATCATCAGGAGCATTTAAAAAAAAATCCATATTTAGGTCATGAAAAGATGCTCTGAGAGTTATTAAAAATATTCAAAAAATTAACCTTCAGAGCTTGCTAGTAACCAGATATTAAAGTTTCACTTTTAAATCTTAAAATGTTGCAAAGTTGAGAATATGGTGACAGGCATTATTGGGGTGCTTGGAGAACTTCATTTAAATATAAAATTGTACATTAGTGTTAAGTAATGTGTTTTAGTCCCAGGCTCTAACAAATTCTGGGCATTGGGTTGCCAGAGCTTCTAGTATTTTCAACAAATGTAAACCCTTCATCTATTTATGGTCTGTTAGCTTGAATATTGCTGTTCCCCATAGCCCTTG